GCGTGGACCTAACCAGATTACCTCATCTGCAACTGAAGGTCGGTTGGCCGTGTTGTGCAATCCTCCGGCAGAAGCAGAAGTTCGGTCTTGCATTCAAGCTCTGAAGCGAGGAAAGGCAGCAGGACCGGACGGTCTCCCACCCACTCGTTTCAGGAGCATGCGATGACCTTGTAGATTCAATTACTGATCGCAAGTGTGCATTCCATCATCCTGGAGAAAATCACTGACCGTTCCAATTATCAAAAAGGGATCTGGCAACGACTGCGCAAACCACGGTGGGATAAGTTTGCTCCTAATTGTGACCAAAGAGTTAACCTCCGCCATACTTCGACGCCTGGTTCCTTTAAGAGCGATAAATATCCGTGAACTGCAAGCCAGATTCCGACCGGGCCGTGGATGTATTGATCAAATTTTCACGTTCCGTCAGGTCCTTGAGCTGCGTTACACCCACAGTCGACCAATGATCACTGTCTTTGTTGACCTAAAAGGAGCGTTCGACTCAGTTGACCGCGAAGCTCTACTGGGTTCCTTTCTTCGAAAAGGAATGCCGAAGAAGTACGTTAACTTATTGAGGTCACTGTACTCACATACCTCTATTCGAGCGGGGGTTTACAACAAACTAAGTTGGCCGTTCGTCACCAGCAGCGGCATTAATCAAGGGTGCCCTGTTCAACCATTCTTGTGCAATTTCGTCGTTGGCTAATTGGTCTCCAAAATGTACATACTGAATGGGCAACTGGAGAAAAGCTGTGCGATTCGGGGTAGGCCGATGACATCGTTTGTCTATTCGAATGTACGGTGGACGCGGAAGGCGCGCTTGATAGACTAACAAGTGCTGTTACCACATTCGGTATGTGCTTTGCATCTCCAGAATGCAGTGATGTTTGATGACCTAGTCTCGCTTTGAAACTCAACGACCAGAAAGTAGCTACAGTGGATTGTTTTTCCTACGTAGTTAGTTGTGCGACCCAATGACGGTAGCGCAGCAAAGGAGATAACCATGCACATTTCCAAGGTTTGAGTAGTTTGTGCAGGACTGTAACACCTTTGGCATTGACGCGACGTTCCACTGAAGTTGTAAATTGTGCTATCGTTCGTTCAGTTCTGCTTCTTAGTTGTGAGACCTTAAATTTGCAAGCAGAAGGTATCCGTCGACTAGAAGTTCTCGATTATCGAGTTTTATCTAGTTTAGCCAACGTGGGATGGACCGAACGGGTTAGTATTCTGGAGATAAGCCGTTGTGTGCCTGTGAGTTTATCAAGAATAAACTTGCTAGCTCTTCGAATTCAGATCAGTAAGCTTTGCTGACTAAGACACGTATTGCGCATGCCCAGCTGTCGTCTGCCGTACCGCGCTTTATTCGCTGTGGCTAATCTGGGCTGGAGGAAACCACGTGGA